TATCATTTTCGGAAAGGCGATAAGACCTAAGGTTTTCGGGAAATGGACTAAAAAGCCCTAATAAATTCGAGAACACTCAAGTTCCCCTGGAATAACCGAACAGATAAATTTCTTTTAGCGCAACCTAAAATTAACCCACAGAGCTTTAAAAGTACTCCAGATAGCCTAAAACAGCGTTTTAAAGCATTGGAGAGAAAACGGTCGTTGGGTGCCCCTGTTACTTGTGGAAAGTTGAATTTAATGAATAATATCATTCATTTCGAAACAAATTAACAATGCCTATACAGTGGATTATTCTGTTATCACTCAGCTAAAATAATTGCATGTGACTATTTCTTTAACTTTCTCTTTGATTTAAGATTCTTTCCCTTCGTCACACGAGCTCCTTTTTTGATTGGTTTGAATTTCACAGATTTCTTAATTTTTCTCTCTTGCACGGTTGTTCGATGTTTTGTTTCTTTGGTGGATTTTTTTGTTGCTTTTGTGTCATGAACTGTTTCGGAATGCTTCCTCTTTTTTCCGAGTTTCGTCGTCCTATCTTCCTTGGACTTCCTTTTACAGACTTTTGGGAAAAGCTCTACAGTAAAAATAAAACAAAAACAAAAACAAAACAGGCAATTAAACAACTGAAAAAGTTACTTTTAAATCAAGAGTTTGAACGGAAAAAATCCGTTAATTGTAGGTTCATTCACCAAACGCTAATGCAGTTAGAATTGAAAACCTTAAAATGTTTTACAACACAGGGTTTTGTGCCAATGACTGAATTCACAAACAAAGAGAAATGAATAAAACACCTTCTGTGTTGCGCAAAGCTAGCTCTTCTGTAGTTTGGCCCACGTTGATCAAAAAGGAGTATAGATATGTACACTATATAAAGCCCGATTTACATGGAACGAAGATGATCCAGGTTGTGCTAGGATCATCCTCTTTCCATGTAAAGGGGGCCTAAAGGATGCAATCCTTTCAAATTGCATCCTATTCTTTAATGTGAGGCGCCATGTCTTACCAGGGTCTGGTTCCTCACCAACCTCCTCTCTGTACCAATCAGCATCGTCACTGTCCATGACGTCACCTGTATCCATGGCTATGTCATCTGTTAAAGAAAACCGTTGTTTGTTTAACTTTTTAAAGGAGCTCAATCACGGTTTGCGCATCTTGAAAAGTTTAGCCTCAATTTTTCAAATTCGTCTTTTGTAATTTTCGGGTTTCCTACTATTTAAAGGTAATTTTGTATGTGGCCAAAATAACTCAAAACACCGTGACTGAGCTCCTTTAAGGTTGCAACATTACCAAACACCAAGATTACTACAAATATGGGTCAGCCAGATACCGAAATTTGTTGACCCTTTTTGTCCTTTTAACTAGACCACAGTACAGAGACAAAAGCGCAATGTGACAATAGAGTCAACAGAAAAAGCACAATCAAGCCTTCCCTCCTTACAAACCTGCATCATCAGCATCTTTCTCCACCTTCTGTTTTTTCCTTTGACCTTCAATACTTCGAGCTCTGTGTGATAAATAACACATTAACACATAAACGCCTTTGTAACCTTAGGTGTTCAGGAACTAATGTTGCCAGTGGAGGTGTTAATTAAGTAGCAGGTGTAATTTAAAGATACTATTAAATAATCCAGGTTTTGCAATTTTGTTTTGTCACAACTCCTAACAGAAATGTTTACTTAAAGGAGATGTTCCTCACTGCACTCAACAGAGTCTTGTTCCCTCGGGAACAAGTGAACAGACTTATTTTAAAGTATGAGTTCTCAAATTACTCAATACTTTCCAGACAGAATGATAACTTACTTGTTCAGAGCTTTTTCTTTTTCCTTTCTTTTGATATTCTCTTGTTGCTGTTTTTTTCTCTGCTCCTTTAACTTCCTGGTATTAAATAATTAAGCGCTAGTAAGACACTTGTTATCAACATTTAGTGTGAAAAAAGGTACCCATGAAGGCCACACAACAAGGAGTGTAACATACTATCTACAATCTGTTCTCAGATAATAAACTGAGCACGTGATTTTCAGCATATACCTTGCTTCTTCTTTCCGTTTCTTCATCTCTTCTATTTCCTCAGGTGTCTTTTTCACTTGATAAAAAAAACAACAACATAAAACACCAAGTGTTAGCATGTTAAGTCCATAGAATGTATATATACAGGAAATAAAAAGTTATATCTAATTAGCAATGCAACTACAACATAAAAGATACGTCCGCAATGCATACACTTGTCAGCCATTTAAAAATATTTGTTGAACACTTGACAAAGTCTAGTGAAGCTGAATTGAAGTCCATTATGATATGGACTCATGAGTCAAATTTATATCAAAGTGATCTCCATGTATGTCACAAAACAAAATATACTTGCATAGTGAGAAAGGCCAAATATAAAAAAAATCTACAAAAGAGAAAACGCACATTTCATGATTTCTACAAGTTGTCATTGGTAGGGTTGACCTGGAACTGAGTAGTTGTGATTGTAGTGACAGTCATGTTAGAGGGACCACATGTTATTGGGCTCAACTTGGGTTTCACTCAAGAACTCCTCAAGACTGTGTGACTCTCATAAACCCAGCAACAGACAAAAGGACAAAATTCATGTTCAAATAGACAAAATCCTTTAATTCTGACAATGGGTCACCTATAACTCAACACAATTATAGTCAAAGCAACTAACTAGACTGAAGTTCTATGCTATAAAAAAATTTGCTTGGAATATTCATCTCCATTATTTTAGTGCATGCTTTTCATCCAGAGCTGAACTGCTCAATGTTATGTTAAGCCATAAAGTACTAACAATAATATTAAGTACACTTTCTTGATTTTCAACAGTCTGCAAACGAGATATATGTATTTATATATTTATCAATCTCACCAAATTCATGAAAAAGAACCTCTCCTGAACACAATCCTTCTTCAATCTTCACAAGCTGGAGCAACATTCGAGGCCCAAGCTGAAAACAGTAAGAAAAATTTTAACAATATGTTGCAGGGTAAGGCTAAATTGTGTTTAGGTCGTGGGTCATAGGTTCTGGGTCGTGTGTGAAGATAATGCAAGATTTTATTAGTACATAGGTTCGAAAATTAAAACACAGCTGGGCACTTTTTGGCAGAGCTACATCCCTTAAATATGGGACAGATGGATGGATGAATGAAAGAGGAAACAAACAAGGAAATCAGAACTAAGATAGGAAATCCCAGCAAGCAAGTATTTTTGTAATTATACCTCTGTAAGTCTAATTGCACTCTGTTGTGCCTTAGCATTGCCTCTTCCTGGCACATTCTGTGGTAACGTGACTCTGGAGTCAGCAGGCTCTTCACCTTCACTCTCTGAACCATAACCACACCCACCTCTGTTGAAGCACAACAACTATGTAGTAGAATCTAATACAAACAATAAACTGATAACAGCTTTATAGTAAGTGACGTACATAAGACACATTATTCATTGCAGTATTGCACCTGTCCAATAATTTCCTGTACAGTTGACCACTGTTAGTCTAGTCAAACTCCCTTTAATATAAAAAAGACTGGACAAGTTCAAGCCAAAACATAATGATGCCATAACACTGGGAGGGTGTCATTCAAACAAAGTGGTTGTAACATATTAAATTACTAGTTTGCCCTTTCTCCATTTTAATTTCAATCCATTACTCAGCCAAATCAAAAACGTTTCAAAACTAACAAAAACAACTACTTGAACTTCTTTGCATAAACAGGCTTACATATTAAGAGACGCTGTTTGGCAAAAAAAAATTATGCACATGTCAAGTGAATTAATTTTTCATATAACATTAATTACAGCACAGTGTTACCTTAAGACATAATCACTGATGTCACTTAATTGTGACATGTTGGGAAGTTTAGTCTGGATCAGTTTTTTCACTCCACGGCTTATTCCAATAGGTGCAGCTTGAATATTACTGCAAGAGGAGAAAATAATTGACGTGAAATCAAGACTGTTTGTTACCTTCTTCCCTTTATCACTAACTATTGATGGATGTAATGACAAGTATTCTTTTCAATAAAAATAAAAAATTTACAAAGCCAAAAAAACTACCACTTAATCATAAACAAATTAAACACTAAGAGTGGCTATCAATACTTACTAATGTCTGAAGTCAATGGTTTTTGTATCTGAGTTGTAACTTAGTAAGACACATCTTCTGATCTCTGAGAGCTGAACCTGCAGCAAGACATGGAAAACACTGCCTTAATTAACTTATGGACACAAAACTTGGATGTTGTCACCTACATGAGTTGCATAAATTATACATGTAGTAAGCTTACCAATTACACCATCAGGTAACTACATTGTATATACATGTACATTGTAGAAAAAATGCCCTCAAATAGTCATTTATTCATCTGGCAATAATTCCTTATCAGGCTTGGTCTAATGATCTGGAAAGCAGGGGTAAAATCCCATTCATGAGGATGTACATAGCAGTACATCCTAGTCACTTCATGCTACAGAAACCAGTGGTGCTGGCCTGATCAATCACTACTAAATTAAATATAATTTTCATTTTTACCTTTTGGATGTTTATTGAAGGAAATAAGTTCTGGAACATTGTCGTCATGAGTTTCATTGGGAGACTGTCAGCAGAAAAACCATTCAACACCAACTGAAATAAAAAATTTTAAATAATACTGTCACGCACTGTAATTAATTATTTACATGTTATAAAAATGTCTTGAGAGTTTCCTTGAGAAACTCATATATACCTTACCAGGGGTGGTCTTTTAAATTGACTTCCATATGTCTTGGGTTTCTTGAGTAAAGACACCACATCTTTTGTCAAAGAATACTGCCATAAAATCAAGAAAGACACATATGTCTTAGTTCACTAAAACTAAGCACCATAACATCAGACTAGAAAAATATCACAGCTTATTTATCACAGCTTATTTCTGTAAATGCAAAAATTAATATGGCTATTGTACATGTACCTCTTGAATTTTGAAAGTCAGTGTTGGTCCCCTGGGTATGCGACAAAACCTCTAGAGATAAAAAAAACAAAAACAAAAACAAAAACAAAAAAAAAAACAAAACAAAAAACAAAAAGAAGCCTTACATAAATATATGCCCTGGTAATTATTCAGTCTAGTATTGATTGTCCAAACACAGAGACGGCTCAGATTGATTGGCTCATCTAAAGTTCACATAATAAATTCATGAATCAACATTAAAACTACAATATAAGACCAGAAAGAGTATGATTGAATAAATGACACAAAAATCTGAGGTATGACTGTAATGCTTATAACTAAATTATTAGTTTTCACTGATTGATATTTATTATTCTAAGTTTTAGACTTTCAATATGTTAACATACCAGGTATGACCCCATTTCAGTTTTAGACAACATCAGCAAGTGTGTCACACTAAGAGGTCCAGCCACATTCACAAAATCCTTGACAACATTTTTCTTGTTCACCTAGTATTGACAGATATCATAAATAAACAAATCAATGTGACTGATCATTACAAGTTTAATTAGGGACACTTAATATTATATAATTAGCTTAGAAACCTACTAACTTTTAGCTAATAAATGATGAAAAGCCTACTACATTCCCAAATTATGTTTTCGAGGGTGCTATCTGATAAGCAATATTCAAATAACAAATGAATGCACAGTTCTCTAAGAGAAGTCAAATAACTTTACACAGTTAACTCTGATATTAAAGGTGTAGGTCTACTGGCACAGAGTAATATTTTTACAGTACCTTTAACTTAGTAGCAGTATATGGTTCCATTACATGTCTGATGTCTATTTCAAGCTGTAACACAGATTTCCCAACATCACCTCTGTGCATAACAAAACTGTGAGGCACTTTGCTGACCTCTTCCTCAGTTACATCTTGATGGGTCTTTCTCTTCTTCTAAAAACCGAGAACAAATAAACAACACATATTAAAGTTAACGCGTGGTTAAGACCATTACTCTGCAAGAAGTCCTAGAAGAATGAAGATTTCTTTCAGAGTTTCAGATTTTTCAAACAGCTTCCACGATAAATAGTTCATGCAAGCTAACAACTTACCCTTCTCGCCTTTCCCATTCTTAAACTACTCGGTAAAATGAATTTGGAAGACTTTAAAATTTGTTTTCTCCACAATGGGACATTGACGCCAACACACGTGCACCAAAAGTTCCAGGCGTGACCTGGGAGGACTGGTACCCACTACTACCAGTCTTACGCGGTTGTAATCAAAATGGCGGATTTTTCGAACAAAGGGGAAGTTGTCTCTAAAGGGATAGCGAAACGGAAATATCTGCTGGTAGATAACGATTTAGAAGGATTAGAATTCGAGTTAAAAGATAACCCTGTAAATAAGAGTTATGGTTAGTATCAGTTGTTTAAAAATGAAGAATTTCTTTCATGATTTATCTTCTAAGTCTTCTAAGATAAGGCTTTAATTTCAATAAGCTTAAAATCTGTTATACTCTCCAGCTCCTATGAAACTATTCAAGTTATCTGAAGTGGAATCTTTGGCCATTACAAAATGGGGAAGTATGGAGAAACTGGAAACTGAGCAGGAAAAGAGAAGGAAACAAAATTCAAAGCTGGAGAACAGAAAAGAAGAGGAAAAGAAACATTTCTGGGACTGCAAAGAGCTATTCGAGCCACTGAAACGCTTCATGGTAAACATGGAGTTGCCAATAGAAAGGGTGTCATCATATTTTAAAGATAAAGGTGATAACAGGAAAGGTGAGTTAATAATGCACTGGGAAAAAAGTTACAGTAAAAATTCCAGGTAGTATATTTCCAGAGCAGGGAAGGGGGAGCGGTGGATACTTGATCAATAAGAGGCTAATGTGAGAGAGTCAGACAATAAGCAGACACCAGTGTAGTGTAAAATCTGGGGGGATTAAATATGCTACAAAGGACAGGAGACTACATCATTTGACTGTGCAAGATGCTGGAGCTGCTACAGAATTAGTCTCCTTGGCAGTATTATTCAGGCCATCACAAAATGCTTCCCCTCATTGTGACTAACAGCATTCCCTTGGACATTTTAACCAATGACAGACTTGCTCATATATTCCTGTGTAAGTCGACATATCAAAATCCATCAACTTAACACCAGTCAAAAGTCGTACATGTCTTGTTTACTACAGAATATTATTTTCCTGAAAAGTGGAACCTCTGAAAGATACTGTTGGGCCAGCTACTTTTCTTGAGGCCATACAGACGTGTGAATTAATCCATGAAGAAAAAGCTACAAAAAGTTAACATCATATAAGAATCATAAACACTTTATTTGCGCAAAGGGCCTTGTATTAGTTTGTAACTCTTTACAAGCATTACCTCCAGCTCTTTACACCTATTTTGTGCCTATAATACTACTTAATAACTATGTCGCCCTATGACGCCCTATGCTCCCCTTTAGGAGCGAAGATGGCCTAATGTAATGTAATGTAATGTAAGTATGTCGCATTAGCCTGTGAGCAGGCTCTTTGCATGGCAAGAAAGAATGAAGGAGAGGAAAGGGAAAGAAGTCTTCCCTTTTTCCTTTCCTACTTTTGTTCCCTATAAGAAGCCTGCTCGCAGGCTAACATAGCATTATCACTTTTTTGTTGCTAATAATTTTTTTTTTTATGCCAGCAGCTGGTGGAAGCCCTGACAGCCTTCTTGAATGTGATGTAATCCTGTGTTTTTGTGACTGCTTGCACAACATCCCTAATGATTGTGCGTATGACATGACGTATCAACTTTATGTTCAGTACTGCAGAATACAAATGAAAATATTTTGTAACTCTTACCGTGTTGTGTAATTTAACCAAAACCTTAGTGTAAAATATGTTAATGTATAATTGTTAATATGTTAATATATTGCAGTTGTGGCGCGTCAAATATTTAAAAGATTTCCTGAAGCTAGGCAAGTGGACAAAGAGACACCATACAATGAAAGACGAAAGATGGGACACTTTTCTTGGACTTCCAGCCTGACTTCAGACCAAGTCATTGTCAATTTATATGTAGTGCATAAAGTATGTTAAAAAATACTGTAAATAATATTATTTCATCCTAACAGATTGCAATAAACAAACTCACATGTCTTATGCCTCCCTTCAGAAATATGTATCTTTTTGTTATCAAAACAAATTCTTCAGCTATTTCGTGTAAGAAAAAAACTTGTTGAAGGTTATAGAACCCAAAATAGCCGTGAAAACGTTTATTTTCTTCTTGTTTTTTTTCGCTTTTCTCACAGTGGAAGGGTGTGTCTCAAAGGCAAGCATCTTCTTCACTGATCAATTTTGAGGCTCTTGCCATTGGCCTTCAAAGATTGTCAGCTCTGCTCTCCAAGACACTTGATAATGATGGACGGCAAGCGAACAGTCTGAAAATTGGGACTTATGTACCATACAGAGTGGACTCTGAAACATGTAAGGTCTTTGTACTGTGTTACAGGTATTTATTAGTTGAGGAAATGGGGAAAATGGTTGAGAAAGATCAATACATTTGAATAATTGAGCACTTTTTAGGATTCTATACTTGTAACCCTGACACTACTGACTAGTGAAGCATAAAAATTCTAGGAGGCTTTCTCATGAAGAGTTTTTCGATAACAACAATAACAATAACCTAGATACATGAGAAAAGACTCAGGTGGCGTTTGATAGAGAAAATTATTGCAGGAGTAAGTTATTTCAGAGGTCCAACGGCAAAAATCAAACAATCAGTTTGCTGTGTTGCCGGTACAATATTTTCCCAGTATTGGACCGAGCATTCACCGTCCCGAATGATCGATCCCGCGTGGTTTTTTGATAGTTAAATGAATACCTTCCTAAAAGGTGATTGCTAAGAAGCAAACGCCCCCCTCCCCNCCCCCCCCCAGCTCGTACTACGTGATTTTTCGGGCAAAATGTTAACTTATTCGGGCAACGACACTTGAGAGAAAACAAATTACAAAATAATGCTGTTGGCGTGATTTCCAAAACTCTTAAATAAAGTTTCTAATTAGTTACTTTAAATTTTTTTAGAACTTTTTCTTTTAATAAGTTTTGTATTTTACTCGGATTGAGACTGTTGATATATCGAGTATGCAAGCTTTCAATATAACTATATTTGGAATTGTAGCAGTTTCATTAGATTTGGGAATTGTGAACGATTTTGTTTTTCATGCAATTTGAGTTCGTTTGCATCCCGATTTCAACAATCACGCATTCGGGCATGGCGTAAATTTTTCGGGGCAAGAAGGTCACCGCCCCCTCAGCCCCCTCCACCCCCGCCAAGTCCGAAGGTGCCCGTACGCATATGTCTCGAGCATAAAGAAAATGAGCTTTGTAGAAAATGAGGGCCGAATAACTTTACAAGATTCGCTTTCGTTTGTCTCAACTTTCTTTTCCTTCCAGTTTTCATCCTTTTCCGAAGCGGCTTATGTCCCGACGTTTCTGAGGATTGAATAGCATGACAGAGTTGAGGGCGAAAATCAATACCAGATAATTTTTCACGGGTAGTCTGAGACATCGTTAATGATGTGCTTCTCAATTGTTATAGTTGCGGTTTTTGAAGATTCTAGCTACCTTTCAGTACAACAGACGTTCTTTTCGTTTTTCATGGCAGTCAAGAGAACTCTTGAAGACAATATGGAGCAGCCTGTCAGAATCTTTACCAAAACAAACACAAGCACTGCTTGCAGATAAACAGAACGAGTGCTGGTGGAATATGATTTCAGAAGACATATAAAGAAAGAAAATAACATATGGTGTAGTTTGTGATGGTCAGAAGTTTAACTGGATTATTCTGAAAAGTGATAGAATTTTAAAAATGTTTTTCAAGAGCATCTGAAATAAAAGAGCAAAAGTATAAAGAGTAACAAGAACAAAATTGAAAAAGAAAGAAAACAAAAACGAAAGAAACGATATGACTGCAAGTAAAGTTGGGTTGTACACTACAAAACAAAAGACAAAAGGAAGGCTAGCAGCCAAAGTATGAGGTGAAATAATTTGAAATGTTCATGGCCTTTAGAAGACTACCACCCATCGTAAAGCTCCGAAAGAAACGACTCTCTGATCTGATCTCGGGCTGATCCAGCTTTTTAATCTGTTTACATTTTTCTAATGAACCCCCGAAATTACGAGCGAGGTCCGGCGTTTCTTTCGGAAAGTCGTTTGTTTCCTACTAGTAAGAGTCGTTACTTTCGGGATTTGTTTCGGGAGATAGTTCTACTTGTCCAAATGTTGTCCATTAAAACATTTCAGTCTCAAGTGTAATTTCCATAGTGCTAGCCTTACAGTTTTCATTTTCCGCCCGTGTCTCTGGGGGATTAGGACGAGAAGTCGTCTGACTAGAGTTGCTGTATTGTGTTATAACATGTCTTGATTTGCATATATTGGGTTCATTCATCTATGCTGCCATGACCGGAAACAAAGTCGCTTTATGGTGCTGTTCCAAACAAACGTAATACTCTATTAAGAAAGATTAAACAAGATGAAGATGAAACATATGAAGGAATATGTTTGGTTTGCGAATATCCCGGCATGGACTTACAACTTCTATAATTGGGATAATGGTGTAAGTTGAATTTACCATGGTTGCATTAGTTTGTGAATAAAACCGGAAAGTGGAATGTAAATGAAAAAACCTCCATTCAGAGGGAATTGATTTGTAATTAAATGTTATTGTTTATGAGCAACTGACTGTTGTCGTGGAGAACAAAGGTTGCGGTTTTTTCCTGTTTTATTACAGCCACTTCACACAACATTTGTGCCCGACAGGTTACCTACTTTTCGACTATTCAATCTGTTCGTTTGATTTTGCCCCTCAAAATCCGCACATTTTCAATGCAATAATGCAAGCGATACATAAAGCACCAAAGACAGCGTTATTTGAAAGTAGGAAATGGCACAATTATCACTTTAATTAATGACACAGCACTTGAAACGTCGTAATCTAATATTCATAATGTGTCTTCACGTTGTCAGAGCGAAATAATTCAGTCATAAACTGCATTACTTTTTGGGCCATGAACTGCGATAACTGTTCTTCAAAGAAGAAATTGCTTATTAAACTGCAATCATATCCAGCTCTAAGGTAAAGGTTTTGGGAATGACATTGCTCCATGTAGCACTGATGTAATATTCATAGGAAGGGAGAGTCCCTTGCCCTGCCTCACTAAAACTTCCTGTCATACAATGACAGGCAAACCGCAGAGTCTGATTTTGAACCATGACTCATTCATCGAGTCTTAAATAGTTCGTTGTATGACAACAGCCGGGCAGGTGCACGCCGGAGTGTTCTCTCGCTGTGATAAACTCCAAGAGAAGGACATTACACTGATCTTTACAGCTCATTACTTTGGACGTCAGCCAGGTGAAAGATCTTTTCCGGACTCCTTCCTGAAATAGTTTGATTAGTTTGTTAGATTTGCTTTTTACAAAATTAACCACGCCAAACATCAAATGCGGTAATGTTATATTGCAAGCTTTTCTGTGAAATTACCATGGATCGCCTGAAGAATTTCACAGACAATCAACCCGTCATGCTTTACTTCTTTACTTTAAGTATTGCTCCGGAAATAATATGAAGTTTCTTGCTGAGCCAAGGTTGTTGAAACAAAGTATAGAAGTTAAACAAACTTCGTCCTTCGTCCTCTTTATCTACTTAGCGGTAGATTGCCGGCGGAAACCACAGTGTTGACAGAGATTTGACTCTGTTAATGAGCCTTGAGAGGATTACATCTAAGAAGATATCGACTGTGATAAAAATTCAGCAGAGAGAGAGTTAGTTTATCTTGCAGATTGCTGAAATACTGTTGGAGATTAGTCAAGTCACCATAAATTCAAGTTCCTTTATTTTTATCGAAAGGAATGCAAGCATAAGTTCATTTACATTTAATAGGGCCCAGGGCAGTTCTGAAGGTCACATGTCGATCTTACTGTTATTGTGAATATCTTGTTACTGTGGCAACTCGCAGCTTTTCGTTTCGAAAGTGCTGATAAGACATTTCCTCGCCCGGGCGATTTCTTTTTTAACTCTTGTTTTGACTTTCAGATTCATCTAGAATAAACTCGAGCTTGGCTAACCTCCCCTTCATGCCGATCGTCTGTAAACTCTTACTTTTAATAGAGTTGATCTAGCTTGGTTTGCCTGTTTTGCCTTCGATAGGAGCTGCCTGCAAGACCGTGTCATGGCGGGGCTGCCTAACAGACCTCCGTCAGTGTGTGTTTTGTCACCACAAGAACTATCTTACGCGAAAGTTGATTTTGGTAAAATTCACATCCCCGCTAATGCGCTGATTATTGCCGAACACGAGCAAATATTCCTAACAGTGGCGAGCATGTTAAAAGAGCTGAAAGCAGTACTCATTGGGGATGCTGGTTATGTTTACACTGGGAAAATAGGCTGCCGGCTTGTTTTCTTACTCAAATGTCGCGATCGTGGACCAGGAGCAGTAATTCAGACCATAAAGACGCTAAAACCAAGGGCTGGCATCTTCCTTGGGTTTGGTAAATCTCTTGCGAGTAGGCCTTATGAAATCGGCGACGTGATTATCACAGATGCGGTTTTACGAAAAGATTGCCAACAAGGAAAACTTGAAAGTTACGCCTGCAGTGAATGCTTGGTCAATGTGTTTGAGAACGGCAAGTATGGCTGGGTCCTTCCAAAGTACCGCAAACAAGCTGTCCATGTTGGCAAAGTTCTTCAGATGGGAAATGTAACAAAAAATGAAAAAACCAAGGCAGTAGCTGTAAAAACTACCAGCTTGGGTAAGTTGAATCACAAGATCTGAATTTCTGATTACTGCCGTAATACAAGGGCAGTTTTTATCATCAGCACCCAACCACGGCTTAGGGCCTACACTGTCCTGTACTGAGTTATTTGCCTCATTGTCAAAAGTCGTGAAGGTAAGTGAATGTTATTAGTTAATCGTTATCAGTCAATATAACTTGCCCATGATCCTGGTAGAAAATGGTACAGACAAAGATTCTTTTGAAGTAACAAAAGCGATTTCACCATCCCTGAAGACCCTGAAGGAATCAGCGACTGTCAGTGGACCGCTGGAGAGTTTAAAGTAAACGTTTAACTGAAAATTCCTTTTCTAGACGTGCGACATTTGAATTTTTTTATGTCACAGTGAAAGATTCGTGTGAAACAAACTAAAAGAGAAACAGATCTGTGTAAAGAAATGTTCTTTGGCCTCGTCATTTTCCCCTTTAAATCCCAATTCAGCTAATCTGATTTATACCTTTATTTCGTTAAGATGTACCCGAATGCAGTAAAGACCTTGGCAGAAAATGGATTTCAATCGTAGGCGTCCTTGGTACCCCGCGTTACCATGGCGACTCTTCTTGGGAACCCTATGTAGCAGCAGTCCTGAGTTCACTCGTCAATCAAGTCCTGCAAGACGATCAAGTATTTGCTATCATGGGAGGAGAGGCTAGGGGACCCAGGCAACATAGTCCTGTCTTGAATAACCCAATGCAAGAGACAATGGATTGCTCAATGAAGATGGACGAATATAGTTCTCTATATGGTAGGATATTGACCCGTGGAATGCTTATTTACATGTTAATAGTTGGTTTTCACATGACGTCACTAAAATTCAAATTACAAAACTGTTGATCTTCCTGAGATTTTACTTTAATGATGTATAAGAGCAGCTGAAAACTAATTTTCATGCACATTTTCGCTCCGAATGGGTTCTTGGTTTTGTGATACACCACGCTTGAATTTCGAACCTTTTGCGTGACGCGGCATTTACATGACGGCGTCATGATGGTTAAAAAAGCGAGTTATTTCGGGGAATTTGGCTATCTGAACAGTTCATGTCTTAGAAAAAGTATTATTT